CGCTTTGGAAGTTCATTATTAATTAAGTTCAGATCAATCATGATGGCCTCGGACCGTACGCATTCCAGAGGAAACGTCCCCAGTCGCATAACGAGTAAGTCGAGGATTTGAAGCGTTTCCTTGTTGAATGAAATCAGAACTATCTAGACGCATTTCTCACTTTTTTCTTCTGACGCACGACGGCTTTCACACTTTCAAACTACAAAATCTCACATGACAATTCAGAGTACACGTTACTCTTCTGTTTTAAGCTTGACTTGTGAGCTTCAAGTGCCACTCATACCAGCGGGCGGATTCGGTGATAATAGCAGCTTCAAGGCCCACTCGATCCTGAGGTTGCGTTCATACTTTGCGGCAGCGTCCGCCAGCGGCCAGCACCGTCTCCAAGAGACCATCAACGTCCACCAGCGACCAGCAGCTTTTCGAGGACTATGAAAGTATAGATGTCGATCTAGCGGCTAGCAGCGTCTATTAGCGTCCACCAGCGATCTGCAGCAAACTGCTGGTAGAGAGTATGGAGTGATAGGAGGGTACCACCTGTCTGCTACCCTCCTATCGCCCCATACTCTCTACCAGAAGACTGCTACACCCTATCTCCCTACTCTGCCAGCTGTCTGCTACCTTCCTATTGCTCCATACTCCCCACTTTCAAAGTCTGTTGGTCCCTAGACGGTAGACGCCGGTAGACGCTGCTAGTCGTTAGATCGATAAGTATACTTTCCTAGCCCTCGAGGCACTGTTGGTCGCTGGTGGACTCTGATGGTAGCTGGTAGACGCAGGTGGATGCTGGTAACTGATGGTAGGCGCTAGATCGATATTTACACTTTCCTAGTCGCTCACGCTGCCGGGCGCTCGGAACGCTTCGCTGGTGGACGCTGTATGAACGCAACCCAGAGCGAATGAGGTTTGCCCAGGGCACATCATTAGGTGGGGAATTTTTGGTTCGACTCTATACGAACCCACCCCTCTTTTTTGGGGGGTTGGTAGGACCTCCCCAGCCCTCTGTCCCTCCTCATCGAATCGAGCCGTCGACGAGGGGGAGGGAGGGTAAATAGCACATGTGAAACAGGAAAAGCCGCGAGACAATACGACCCCCCCTCTACAATCAGATTTTCCCCAACTTCCTGCCCCTTTTTTCCAAAATTTCCCGAAAACTTCCCTACTTTTTACCAAAAATTTTGCTGTCGAGCGGGGGGGCATATAGTACGCATAGTACGCATGAAACAGGAAAATCACCAAAAGTCAACCACCACTCCCACAACGCCAAAACGTAAATACGACCCCCCCCTTTACAACGTCCATGAAGCGAGAAAAATCAACTATCAAAATAAATTTTTCTCAGCCCAAATACGACCCCCTCCTGGCGACCAAACGACCCCCCCCCTATTGGGGATTCCCCAACAACGATGTGCCCTGGGCTTGCCCAAGCATTGACTGTTCACGTAGTGCAGATAAACAGCCAAGTTCTGTGCAACACAGCTGAGAAATTCAAGGATGAAAGTAGCCTGTCCGTTACTGTAAATAAGAGCCCTCTCTACCAGCCACATCAACAAGAATATTTCTGAACACAGTCGAATACTTTTGGAACCCAATTTTACTCGTGCAATTATTAGGGGTTGGACGGTCCCTATTAAAAGCAGTCCAACGTTTCCTTCGGCATTTGCTCCTCACAGACAAGTCTCTTTGCATCTTCTCTTTCATATTTCGACACATTCTCATACGCTCTTTATCGCGGACCATAAAGTATTTTTGTAGTGGGCCTTCAGAAGTATTCGGATAACCTGATGCCTCTGACTTGAGGAAGTTGTTCGTTTCACTAAAGCCGTGTAATCTTACTGAAATTCTTACACGATCGCGGGCCGGTTTGAGCATTGAACGTGACCTCTTTTCAGCTTGCAAGCGATATTCGAGAGGAAGGAGAAGATGGTGATAGTTCAGGAAGATGAAACGGACACATTTCTCGATGAACTGCTCTACATGTGTGTGAACTATGAGCCCGAAGTGAGCTGGACAGAGTTTTTGAGGACTATTCACTTCCATCACTACAGGAAAAAACACAGCTTACGTTTTCACTGCTTCCGCATTTCAAACCGCGTCGACGCGCCAAGGAAAATTATCCCTCACCGGCACTGTGACCTACTTCTTGTACTCTCCACTAACAAAACCTCCAACATCTGAGCAGGGGAGGAGGCGGTAACCCCGAATAGCTGAACTAGCTACATCAGGCTGAAATCAGCTATACCTAACATGGCTTGTTGAGGTATTTCGGGCTGCTGAGGAAGGCGCTACGCACCGAAACTCTCAAAGAAAAGTTGTCGCAATACGAATACCGGCCTGTACATAGGCGATGGTAGCCAAAACTAAACTAAGCTTACCTTTCATTGATTATAACATCACACCAGCTCGCAGAACAACTAGTGGCTGCGAGCTGGTGTGGGTGTGCCATTCCAGCTATAATTTTTGCAATGCTTGGCATAATCATGAGTGGTCCGAAACTATTTAGACTTCAGCTAGCAGCCGGTCTAGGCACTTGTTGTACGCAACAATCAACTAAGAACACCTTGTTGGTGGGGCATAGCCCACACCAGTAATAATCTTTATGGTGTCTCCTTTTCTTTTCACGACCACGCTCACGCTTACTCTGCCTTTCTTCATATTACCTTAGAGCGCTTTCAACCATGCGAACTGCGAACCGATCAGGTAGCGTCGTCAGCCGCCAACAATTAGGAAAGTATAGCATTGCCGAACTATTTAATGGCAGAAAATCGTCAGCGACCATCAGCGTCTCGAGAGACCACTAAGGTATGGGCACCGATCTAGCTTTTAGCAGCGTCCACCAGCGACAGAAGTGTGAGGAAGTAGGAGAGTGGCAGAGTTCTTGTAGGGCATGGGGAAGTAGGATGGAGGAGGCAGCTGGATAAGGAGTCGAGAATTTGTGGACCACTATTTGTGGCCGCACCGTACTACTGCATGGTACCGTACTCCTGTCCTCTGGTGAAAAGTGGTGGTCGCTGTGGACGCTGCCCGCGAAGCTGCTTAACGCAAGCCTCAGCGGCTAGAAAGACCGCTACCTTAACTGCCCCTCCAGTGCCTTTTCTGGGAAAGATCGTGCAATGACATGTTGCTGGGAAACTATGCTATTTTTCGATAGAGGCCTAATGAAATCTTTCTCAAGGCAGCTTGCACTTGGTCCAAAAATCCTCAAATTAACGACTCTCTGATCCATTCGAGGATGCGGACACATCTCATTACGATGTGTCGAGATTGGACAATAATTTACATGGACGAAATAGTATGCTCGTATTGCAGTCTCGACCGACGTTCGATCATCTGTTCAACTTCTTCCGGGCCCTTCTTTTCGATTTCGCTGTAGGACCCGATCCCGCCATTCAGAAGTATATAAAGAAAGCTCCAAAGAAGTTCAATCATGCGCAGCGAGCAAAATAATTGACGTGAGTAACGACTAGTTTCTCGTCGTTTATTGTCCTTCAAAAAAGCACTACGATTGGTACTTCATGCATTTAACGATTGCACTTGTACCTAAAAGCCGGTCTGCTCTGACAGTGATTGTAAATCACATCCGTGTACGGGCAGAGTTAAAATAGCCTAATCACAACGTTGATTTGGGCTCTGCATTCTTTTAGCGCAGAAAGGGCTAGGTTTCCGCACTACTGGATCAGCGCCGAAATTCCTTAGACTACAGAAGGTGTCGAGAACTTTGAGAACGAGTAACTGATTCCCTGGGCAAAAACGTCGCAGTTGTTTTGAGTGAAAGTATAATCATCACAGGAAGCAGAACACCAAGATTGATGTTCCATCAGGGATTTGGCGCGGGTGCCTGGCGCTTTTACGCCTAGCGGGTAACGATATTCGTTTATGGTGTCCAGTTGTTCCTGCTGCCCTCAGGGACTAATTCTGACGAAAATGAAACCCGGTTCTCGAAAGAGCGGGCGTAGATAGCGAAAAGGGCAAAAATTCCGACTACATTTCAAGTACAGTTCTGCCATATACCTCAGCCCACCGGTGTTACTGTCGTAGTTCCGTCGCGCACCTATATGGGTATTTCAAGGCACGTTCCGAGAT